AGTTACATTTTTTAATTTTTTTGACCACACAAGCAAAGTTATATAGGAGCGTTGAGATAAATTGAAAATTATTACAAAAGTATCCAGTGCATTTTTTTTAAATATAATAACCGATACATTATTTTACTCTCATGAATATTAACTGTTGAAAAACTAATTTAAGTGTTAATTATCTCAAAAAATAGTGTCCCGCAGTGAACTGATCGTTTAGAGACGGTTCCCAGCAGATCACCGAAGTCAAGCATCACTGGTTGCGGTCAGTGTGCGGGTGGGTGACCACTTGGATCAGTCTGCGTAGGGACCGAGGGTGTGCGGTATTGGTTCTCATTAAACTGTTCCCCAGAAAAGAGTCCGACTTCTCGAGCAGGTCGTTGGGCTACAGAAGCGGGGGTGCCAACCCGCCTGCAGAGAATCAAAATTGTGATGGTATGTCTTCGGATCATCCTCAGGAATGTTTCCCAGACCGTCGCCAACAGCCCATTGCCTAGCTCTAGTGCGACGTTAATGAACTACAACTATTCAAAAAATAGTATTAGACAGTTTTTTATTTACATTGACGCGAGTAGCCAACATATCATTTATGTTACTTAAAGGGAATTTTTACCTTTCACAGAATTTCTTCTGATAGTGTTTTTGGAGATATTCAACCTCAAAATAAATTTCTAATCTGAGCATATACAAAGTATAAATAAATAGATGAGCTTAAATATATGATGTTAATAAAACTGCTATTCAAAGATCACGATATTTTTGCAATGAAGCAAAATTGACACTATGTTCAATAGTTGTAAATTATTTACTAGCCCTGTTCATAAAATACATGACATTTAGTAAAAAATTATTTGTGTTAAAAACAACTATATATTTCCCAATCAAATTATAATGAAATATTTAATCTATACTGTTTAAAAAACACCCCAACCTATAAAAACAATTACTTCAATGTAAGGCAAACATATTAAGTACTTGCATTTGTGAACTTTTTGTACGTACTTAGTTCAAAGTCAGCTGTAAAAAATTTTGAAAATCACGTACAAGACGTGATTTATTATAATAGAGCTCCAAGCAAACGTTTTTAAAGTTAAATAGGTATAAACCTCGTCAGGAATGATAATAAAAAAATACTATTACATTTTACTATGATTTATTTTACAATAATTTAATTTTTTATTGCTTCCTTTTTAAGATATATTATTCATTAAGCTGTATTATTTTTTATGTAGAAATTTCAGCGATTATATGGAAACTTCTGATTTGTTGACCAATAAGATATTCATTTTGTTAACAGCCCCTAAAATGGAAATTGAAAATCTAACTTGTCCCACTTTTCCTTTAAGTAAACTACAAAGAAAAGTAATTAAGGCCGGTTAAATTCATTTAGCTAGACTTCTTCATTTTATCGATATTTCAAACGAGTAATGTAAGTGCTTATAAATGATACTCATTTATTTTCCATTCTTACAAACTATGATTGGATTGATTCTTTGTTTGCAAGAATAACTTCTATTTTGCATTATAGCTAACTAATATTTATGCTGATAACAAACTTTAATCAATCACTAAGTTTTATATTGCAAACAATTTTTAGATTTAAATGACATATTCCTAAAATTTACTTTCTAAGGTTCTATTTTATTAAATCATAAGAAAATATTTTTTCTCTCAAAAATGTATCATGTTTTCCCATATAATGTAAGTAGATATTTTTTTGTCTGGAACTTATTTCAATCTGTTCAATAATTAAGTTTTGAAATTTAAAATTAGTAAAATTAAATAATATTTGAGTACACCGCAATTAATATGGTGTTCTTAGATTTAATAGTTTTATACACAAGCAGCTGAACCAAAGCAAAAAACTACGAGTTATAATAAGCTTTGAATCATATTAGTGTTGTTTTTTTAAATACTTATCGATTTATAATGTCTAAGAGTTAGTTCATAGTAGAGTACTACTAAATAGCCAATATCTGTCTCTTTGAAAGCAAAATACTCTGATAACGTTTTTACAAATAAAAAAAAGACGTGTTTTAAATGTATATGTGTATTAAAAATATTTTTATAGTGAGCATTTAAAAAATTAGAATTTTCGTTTAATTGTTAAAAATTAGGTTGCTGATATGAAACTCAAGAATCATAAACTAAGTCGCGCAATTATGTTTCTTTTATACGAGGATGTGACTCTCAAAATGGATTTACTTTTTACAAAATTCATTAAAAATAAAAAAAAAATTCATAAAAATTTTCCAAATCATTTACCCGTACTTCTCCCGTTAACAACTCTTCTCTTTATACATTTAACCAAAATTAAGTTTTTGAGATGTTAGTAGTAATGTTTATCGTTATTAATTTCATAAATTTTCCTTGAAATCTTTGTTCTTTTTTGGACTCTTAAGACTAGTAGCTCTGATAACAGTAAGGAATATTACATTTTGCATTGGGAAGGTAAAGTATTTAAAAATATTCCCGGTAGATATTACCAAAAGAGGAAATTTTTGTTCAAAAATTGAAAATTTTGTACAGACAATACTTTGGTGAATAGTCAAAAAAATATATTGTTTTAAATGAATTAAAAATCTACCTAAATATATATGTTGGGACTCGTAAAAAATGTAAAGACAATCTACTCTCTTTAGTAGACTCCCAGTTGAGCTACCTTTCCATTATATCGACCTCTCATGAAGTCCCGTTTGCTGTTCCATAGACGCAACGTTATTTTAACTCTCACTACAACGTCCAAATTGAACCGTTCATTCTAATATAGCAAAAGAAAATTTGTTTCATTTTTTTTTATTCCCAGAAAATTTCTCTAAAAATATATCTTAGACATTTATGCGCTTTCAAAACTATTACTTTTCCCTCAACAACTAGTCAATCAGTAACAAAAGTCTCGTGAAAACTATTCAAACCAATATTTCTTTTGAAGATACCGCTCAATAAACACGAAACATCTTAAATTCTCAATGAATTCAGAAAAAGAGACAGAGTACTGGTATAATGGTAAAAAAAAAATTTTAAATACAGAATACCGACCATTTTTAAGAATTTGAAGTGTATGTTGCAACGTTATTTAGAAATCGGAGCTTCCTGTATAATCATAATCGTTTAAAATTTCGTTTCAAAAAGTTCAATCTATTCATCAATTGCATTTTTCTTGTTTGAAAAATTATTTACTCTTTTTATGAAGTGTTGAAAGAGGTGATTATATTGGAGTTAAAACAAGTGGTATAATTTCCATTCCTTTTTATTTTAGTTTTGCTCGCTCTCCAAACGCATGTTATTTCATTTTATTTTATTTTATAACCGTCGTTGAACAGCCGACCCAATTTTGGGTTTACGACTACTAATGNTTTTATTTTATTTTATTTTATTTTATTTTATTTTATTTTATTTTATTTCATTTCATTTTATTTTATAACTATTGTTAAACAGCCGACCCAATTTTGGGTTTACGACTACTAATGTGCAACTCTGTAGCCTTGTAACTTTGAACCAATCCAAAAGACAAGGAAACTCCTGGATCAGTACTCCCAGAGGTTTTAATTTGTTATGGGAACATGAAGACTTAGCGACTCGACAGATTTAACGTGCATCAGTCACCATTTACTACACGGGAAGTCTTCAGCCGGCGGGGATCGAAACCACGAACTCTTGAACATGGGCCCAGCAAAAGTAGCTGGTCTTAATCAGTGTAAAGCTATATGCTTTGAGCGGAAATAAAAAAAATTAAAGGCAGTGGATGCAAGAATAGAACAAATTATTAAATGATTCAAGATTCCGAAAAGCACTTTGTTTACAATCATTAAAAATCGTAATGTATATCTAAGGCAGAAGCACAAAGTATTCTAATTTTATGACATCATTCTTGCAAAGTAAAATTTCAAACTCAAGAAAAAGAACTGAATGACTGGCTAAAGTTTACGCGCAATATTTAAAATTATCATTAAAAAAATCTTAAATGCATTTTTAACCTTTAATGTACTATATTAAATTATAATTTTATTATATTGACAAGCCGGGATAGTCAGGTTTGTGGGGTGCTGGACTCACGTTCATGAGAACGGGAATTCGAATCCAGCCCGGTCGAAGACTCCCTGTGCAGTAAATGGTGTCTGGTGCACGGTAAATCTATCTGATCACAAAGTCTTCCATGTTCCCACAGCAAATTACACCTCTGGGGATACTGGAAGGGAGATTGATCGTTCTGCGGTTCAGGTCAAAAATGTAATCTGTGGATGATTGAATGGATGTGTGAATGGGTCCGCCTTATGAAAGGATGTGACATAAGGGTGTGACAGAAGTCGAATTCTTGGTTATAGATTGCTCCCCTGGAAAACAAGAACAATCTCACTCCCTCTGCCTTAATGGCCCACGACAACAGCAACAATAACATTATATTGAGGGGAAAAAACAGCATTAGTCAGTTTCATAATTCTATCTAATGTGTAGCATGCTTTTGCCCAAAATAAATCTAAAATTTGTGAAATATAAGTAAATATTTGAACTAATTTTATGCAGTTACGTTATAGTGACCTCACGTTATAACGTCCGTTTTCGTTCAGACCACAAAGTTCGTTATGCCGAGCGTCGACTGTATTTTAATAAACGTTTATATGTAAAAGTCGTAATCATTGAAACTTTTGTTTAAGAAACATCAAATTCAAATTTCAGCATATTTTTAAGAAATCCTTGAATGGAATTTTTAGGAAATCTGAAACTTATAAAATATAGTTTACTGTAACCACTCTAACTTCCTGTCATCTGCATTCTTACAATATCTTCAACTTAGCATTGTGTCTTGCAAGTTATAAAGAGTTATTAATTAAATAATTTGACTGCAAGTTATTAATTATTTTTCTCACATGCAAATTTATAAAATATTCTTAAAAATTTTTTAAAGAAATTGCAAATTGATAAAACGAAATTGTTTTTCGTTATTCAAATATCGTGTACTATTTTAAAATAATTTAAGAGGAGTCATTGTTTTTATCGTCTTAACACAGATGTCAATGAATGCATTATGAACAATGGAGGATGTCATCATCATTGCTGTAATACACTAGGAAGCTTCTACTGTCGCTGCAATCCTGGTTATCAACTAACTTCTGATGGGCAGACATGTTCTGGTTTGTAATATATTCTAATCAGCAATTCAATCAGTAAACCATGTTGGTATTATTATTATAAATGATAGTGCTAATGCACCATCCCTAGAAAATTATTATCTAACCCCTTTTGTAAATGAATAATTATATTTAACACTGCTACTTAGAAAAACTAGGGTAATTCAAAAATAGGTGGAAATAAAAAAACTTTACTTTTTTATCTAAAATATCATAATTAATTTACATTCGAAAAATAAAAATTTTAATTAAAGATCTAAAAGAAATCTATGAATATTTGAAAGAGGTGATTATATTTGAAATTTTCATAACTCAATAATTACTCTTAAAAAATGTGACAAAATGATATTTTAATAATAATTTTCTAATTTAAAATTATACTAAAGGAACAATGAACAAAAAGAATATGAAGATTCTTTTTACTTATAGTTCATTTAATAAGATTTTCTCAGACTAAAATGTTTATATTTAGGTATTTTTGTACTCTTAACTTATTTCATAAATATCAAAGACTAGAAATAAAAGTGTCATTAATTCTACGAATGGCGTAAAATTACTGCTTTCAATTTCATGCATAATCATTTTACCCAACATGAGGTTTTAAAATGTCAGTTAAATAAATTTATGTCAGTTTCTTTTTAATTAAAGCGCATTTTGATCTTACTGCATACGTTGAAATTATTTATATTTAATTAATCACATCCGATTATAAAAACTTTTTTGTGAGAACCATTTATTTATTATTTATATAAATAATGTTCAACTTTTTTAAAAGAATACTCGCTTATAAAACATCATTTATAAAATCCTTCCTAAAATAAGGTTTCAAAAATTATAAATCAAATTAAACAATAATAAATTTTAAAAAAATTGTGACCAATAAGGGAATAATTTGTTGAATCTTCTGCTTTGTTGAATCTGGACTTTTTCATTTACCTGGATTAAACTTCATTCAATTTAATTCTTTTTAAGCTACTATAACAATTTATTACTTCGAAAAAGTCATTAAAATGTCTGAAATGAATTATAAACCAGAAACAAGAAGTCGTATTAATATTTAAACAAATTTTATTATTTATAAATCCAAGACAGTGAGATCGATACAGCTGACAAAAGCTTAAAATAAAGCCTTTGTTAATTTTTTTTAATTTGAAAAGCGTTTTAAAACTTATTTATTCATAAGTAACTACTCATTATTCATTATTCCTTTGGAACTTTAAAGGCTTTAAAATTATCTTTTCAATTCATTTCAGATTTCTTATTGCCTGAGTTTATTCAAAGAAAAGAGATTTTCCATTCAAATATTACCATTTCTTTAGAGAGATAAGGCATAATTTACTTTGATAAGAAATAACTTTTGAATCTTAATTAATTTCACACATCATATAACGATTTCCATTTTTATTTCTTTTCAATTCTTCCGATTTTAGTCAAAGTGCTCCATCATAAATTTAATTAAGAATGCTCGTTGGACAAAGAAAGTAAAAAAAGAATGGTTAAAGTACCCAGCTTATACTGTTTTTAAATGGCCCTTTTAAAGAAAACAAAGTTCTTTTGGATTACATGGTAACACATAAAACTAAAACTAAAATGTATTTTATCATTCCAAAGTTCCATTTCCTTTTTGTTTACATGAGGAACTTTTCTTAGATTGCAAATTTTTAAGAAAAATTTTTTCTTTTTTTTTTCTTTTCTAATGCTGTATTGAATGTTACTGGTGATTTCTAGAAAAGATGAGTAAAAATTGAATGATGTTTTGAAGATGTTCTGAAATGTCTTTTTCCATTTCCCTGGGGAAGTTCAGGCAATGGATTACCTTTTTCTTGTTTTTGACTTCGTAAATGCCATAAAAAGTTTGCAAAGCGCATTTTATAAAACTTCTTTTCTCTAAGTAATATTTCATAAATCGTATTTTATGTCTCAGAAAAAGGAAAAGATGTTATTTTTCCCAATTTTAATATTATCCTGAAATATTTATTTGTATGTATTGTAATTCTTAAAGAACTTCTGAAAATGTTTTCAATAGCAATTACATTTAATGTTATGTTAAATACTTTCAATTCGAAAAAATAAAACAAAAAAAATTTTAAACAATATTTTTTGAATTAATTTTATTAAACATGGTTATAAATCACTATAATTATATTTTTTATTTATTGAGCTATAATTTTAATTTCACATATGTTGATAAAATGTTTACTAAATTTTAATGGGAATTCTTTTTTACATTAAAATTGTTACACTTCTTCTTATATTTCAAGAATCAGTCACTGCGCTTATTTCTGCGTAAATAAAACAACACTGTAAGCTATTACTTAATTATAAACTTCATTTACTTCATAAATATACAAACTGGAAATAACAGTCGACAGGTTTCAAGCACTCAAAAACAGGCTCCCATTTTCAAGACTTGCCAGACGTGAAGGAGAAAAAGCAAAAGTAATTTGAAATATGAAAAAGCTGCAAAATAAATAATGGAAAAATAAAAGTGAGAAACAAAACTAGAAAAACCTCAGTAGCCCAGAGAGAAAAAGGATTAAAAAAACAGAACAAGGTTTTTCTTGTTTACATTTTACTTGATTACATTTTATATTTCAAATCACTTTGTTTCTTCAGATTCACTTCTGGCAATATTAGCCAATTTTTGAGAGCTTGAAACATGTCGACTGTTATTTCCAATTTGTATATTTTGGAAGCGATCGAGTAATATCTTTCAGCTTTCAATTTCGTGGGATTATTTATTAAACACTGTAACCTCTTGCGAGGTTCTACAAATTTTGAGAAAGAGATTGAATTTAGTAATGAATAATTTAATATTTTACAGATGTCGATGAATGCTTAGTTCATAATGGAGGTTGTCAAAGCAAGTGCATCAATTATGATGGTGGATATTCGTGTGAATGTTTGCCAGGTCAACGACTTCATACTGATGGGCGGACATGCATTGGTAAGCAAGAAAAATTTTTATAGTGCTCAACAAAAAAAAACGGACCACCCTGAATATACTGTTTATCTAATGATCGGATCTTCAGATTCTAAAACTCAATCTTAATGGTTTGAGAAGGTGACTTCAAATATGTTAGTTGATTAGTACAGATTATGCTTTAAGTTAAGAAAATAAAACGCAAAAATGTACTTTCACCTAATATCGAGAGCTTTTTTAATTTAAATGTATTTAATTTTTAGAAAAATTTCATGCAATTTAGTAAATTTCATTAAAAAAATAGCTTTTGATAAATATTTATTATTTTATTTAATTATAGTCGAAAACTTTCTGAATTCATAGGTATACAATTTTTGCATCATTTTAAGGAAAGCAATTTTACATGACGAAATACAAAATCTGAGCGTAATTAGTCAAGCAGAACTTTTTTCGATACAACTATTTCGATTTCTCAGAAACTGTTCGATCGATTTCGCTGAAATTTTGTATTTTGCTTTATAATTATATTCTCTAGCATTGTGTAAAAAACATTTATACCTTACTATTCAAAATCTTTTTGACTACAATGGAATAAATATTAAAAAAATAATAAAAATTTGCTAAAAATTATATTTTGCATGGAATTATCTTTGGGCAAACGAATTTTACAATTGTGTACAAAAAATTTTGAATTAGCTTAAAAAGATCTCGAGATATGGTAAAATACGCAAAAAGGGAAATTAATATGAAGAGGTACAAATTCTGGACCATTCTTTTAACCAAAAAACTATTTGGACCATATTTAAAAGATTGCAACACTCCCTATATTTCGGGAGTTAAAAATAAGAATTCGTTGAAAGAAAAGTATGTTTATTCAGAGGAAGTACGTTTTTGTGTTTAATTCGTAACTTAAAATATCGTCTGCGTTTATTAATTAGCATATTTCTAGTCACCCCCTCGAACCTTAAGATTGAGTCCAAGAAAGTGAAGATCCGATCATGACATCAAAAGTTATTCTGAGTGGTCTATTTTTTATTGTGAACCCCGTGTATAGAGATTATTTCTTTTGTTCAATGAAAGGTAATTCTATAATTTTTTGTATCAATTACTACATTAAAAATGCAACTGACGTTGAAACGCTATTGACTTAGATAAATCCAATATCTCTGAATTTTAATACGTTTTAGCATTATACATTTTACTTCAATGAAAATTTGATCTTGAAATTTTTTGTAAGTTACTGGATGATAAGTGCAACTTGCATTGAAAATATATCTCAGATAAATTAAAAATTTCTAAAATTTAGTAGATTTCAATATTACATATTTTTCTCAGTGAAAGTTAAGCCTAGAAAATGTTCCGTTAATTACTACTTTAAAAATGTAACTTACAATAACTGTGGAAAAAACGAATTATCGTTAGTAACTTTTGAACTATTGGTGGTATTTTCACTCTGTAAATTGTTATCTGTATATTTCCTGTATAATTGTTAACTCTGTATATTTCCTCGAAATCCGGCCGGGTGGCCGAGTGGTTAGCGAGGCCAATGGCTGAGGGTTCGAATCCCGCTCTGGGCATGGATGTTTCTCTCTATGTGTTGTCCTCTGCTGTGCGTGATGTGTGAATGTGGCCCACCCTCAGGTGCCCAGTGGGTAACGTTAAATGAGCAACACTTCCGGCATCTCCCTATGTGAAGGACGTTAAAAGTTCAGTACCTGCCATTAAAAGAAATAAAAAATATTACCTCGAAAAATTCATTTAGAATATGTAAAAAAGTTAAAATCTTGGTTAAACTAATTTTGTCTCTTAAACATACTACAAAAATCACTCTTGATTCTTAATTATATTAAATTCTGATAATTAGAGATGTTTTCAGTAGCAGTTAAGTATAGGCGTAGAAAAAAGTTAACAACTTTTGGCATTGGGAGTTATTGTGCTGTTTATAGACTTAAAAGTTCGTGGAATGAAATAATTGCGACCTCAAATTAAAATAAATTAAAAGCTGTAATATTTTTTACAAATAAAAAATTAGGACTCACTTTTTTTTTTCCTTTTTCTGGCCCTTATAATTCTCTAGGCGAAACGGAAACTTAATTCATCTGCTCGCGGAAAAAATTTACTTCTTTTATTCAAATTAAAAACTTATTTTAACAAGAACAATTATTTTATGATTAATTTCTATGTTGACGAAACAAAAGATGCAAGGTCATCGCGATATATAAAGCTGATAAAAGCGCTCCATCTAGTATTCAATATCTAATATAAAGCTGCTTCATTCTCTGAGAATATGAGAGGAGTTTTATTAAAAAAAAAAATACTGGTACACCGGGGAAAAAATCTGGTAAAATGTATGGTAATGACATTTTAAGTAAAACAAAATCATAATTCTCGTTAAGAAAACCAACATATATAGTGTTAACCATTCTTTTGCTAATTTTTCCGTTAATATGATAGCGGTTTGCTGGAAATTCTGGTTTTCAAAATTATAGTTCTTATTATCACAGGTTTAATAACAAATACAAAACTAAGAAATAAATGTAACCAAATAAATAGTATTTATGCCAGGTTCTAAGGTATCATGATAAAATTACCGAATTTCAACACATATTATAAAACCATATTTTATTGTTAAATTTACCGAAATCATTACTAACGCGTTTAGTAAAAATTACCGAGCTTTTTGGTGTTCCCATAACGCCAAATATACGAACAACTTTTCCATATTCTAGTAGTTTATACTATGCTTTTTTTCTCATGATGAACTCAGTTTTAATAGTTTGAGGGTCTAGCCTTAAATTTGTTAAAATATTCTAACCTACATTTTAAGTTTAAAAATAAACCTTTTTCTGACAAATTAGGTCGAAAGATAACAGATACTATCCAAATCCAGAATCTGGAAAATATGACCTCAATAGAAATAAGAATTTTCTCTAAAAAAAAAAAAAAAAAGAACTTACAGTATCTTAAAACTATGTTTTAAAATAAATATAACTTTTAGTCGTGTAGTAACACATACTAATTAATAAATTACAAACTCCTGTAGTTTTTAAACATTTTTATAGATGAACAAATTTATAATAACAGTGTAATAGGTTTTTCTAGAAGAAATATCGATTTATTGAAAAGTTTTTGTGTGCATATTGACTAACCGTTCTAACTCTTTTACATATATTTAAGTAAGGATTTAAAATTATTATTTGTAAAGGTAAGAATTTTTTTCTAACTAACACTTATTTCTGAATTGATGAATTTTAATAAATATATTTTAAAGATATTCTCAAAAAAAATTTTTTTCAAAGAGTATGCAGTTCAACTATTTCATTAAAACGTAACCATTAAAATCTTTGTGACATTTCCATGTTAGTCTTTCCTTTGAAGGGACCCTTTTATTCCATTATTCAAGCTATCTAAATCTTTTAACATTTGTCGCAATTGTTCCTTTCAGTTCTGAAAGCTGTCAAATTCTTTCCTAGACAGCCAATGATCCGAATTTATTCAAAAAGAGAACGGAATTTTTTTCCAATTACTTTTCTACTTTGTCTCTTTATTCTTGAAGAGTAATGAAGCTATAAAACTTTTAACGGATAACAAGAGGAAAAGATTTCATTGTTAAAAAGTTTTAGCTTTCTTTTGCAGAAAAATAAAATGGTTTAATGGTAATGTTTAAGAAAAAGATATATTTTATTATTTTTTTGCTATATTTTTCTAGTACTTGTGTCCTAAACTGCTTATTAGTTGTTCAATCTTTTAGATTGTGTGAGTTAAAGTAATATTTATTGAAGTTTTTTCCAATATCAAAAACAGAAAACCAATTCAGGTTTTCATAATAATATCAATCACTATCAATTTTTCAGTAAAAAAACTGAAGATCGAATTTTAAAAAAAATGCATAAATAAACATTATAAGTTTTAATGAAATTATTTTATGTTTAATTTCATACAATTATATAACTACGATATTTTATTAATGGATATACATCGAAATTATACTCAAAAATTTCTTGCAAAAAGCATGAAGTCAAGCTGCATTGATTATTAAAATGCAACCATTATAATCTCTGCGGTATTTCCATGTTAGTCTTTCTTTTGAAGGGATTCTTTTATTCCATTATTCATGCTATCTAAACCTTTTAACATTTGTCGAAATCGTTCCTTTCAGTTATGCAGGCTGCCACATTCTTTTCTAGACAGCAAATGATTTGAATTAATTCAAAAAAAGGACGGAATTTTTATCCAATTACTTTTCTACTTTGCCTCTTTATTCCTAGAAGAGTAATGAAGCTATAAAACTTTTAACGGATAACAAGAGTGAAAGAATTCCATTTGTTAAGAACTTTTAGTTTCCCATTGTTAAGCATAAAATGGTAATAACTAAGAAAAATATATATTTCATGATTTTTGTGTTGAGTTTAACTGATACTAGTATATAAACTCTATTCTAACTATGTGAATTAAAGTAATATTTCTTTAAGGTTTTCTCATTATCAAAAATATATAATTTTTTCAAGTTCCTATAATAAAATGCGTTTTTATTCTAATCCCTTCTGATTGTTCAAAAGTTATTTCCATAACCAATTATTATATTTATTTGTATTTATATTAAAACTTTACCTTTGTACAAAGTCTGCGCGTAACGATAAATCTTACACAAAGCAGACAATTTTCTTTTGAATATAGCCAGCAATCAAAGAGGTATGTCTAATTTTCAGAAAGGGGTAAACTAAAAAAACTGGATAGCTTCATTTTTTGTATGCTTTTAGTTTTCTGAATGATTTTGAAACAAGGCATAAAACATCCTGTAAAGTTAGTTTTCTCTTTGTGTTACATTATTTATGCTTTTGTTAAAACGTGTATGAAGCTACCCTCCCTAAAATGAGCCATTCTTGTTTCCATAGAACCAGACGGCCTCAGATTTCATGGCGGGAGGAGTTCTTAGCTTAGACAGTCTATACCTCATCCTTACTGCAACCTCTTCATTACTTATCACCAAACAATAGAAGAAACTATTGTCAAAAGCAGGAAACGTTTTAACAAATTACACATTATTTAAAGATTAAAATTTTCTACGTAGCCTTTTTCAGCAATCGCTGATTATATCATTTGGAAACGAAAATAACTCATTGCGTTTAAAAAATAATACACATTGTAAAAAAAACTGTTTTATTAATCAAACTTCCGAAACAAATTCTATGCAAAAATGTATTAGTACCCTCTAAACTCGTTAAAAAAAAATTTATGTTTCTATTATTTTCATAGATGTAGTACAACAATGTAAAATCAATAATGGTGGCTGTCAACATATTTGTGATGAAATCCACGGACGAACTCGTTGTCGATGTCGCCATGGATATAGATTAAATTCTGATGGAAAAACATGTGAAGGTTGGTTTCCTTTTATTATTATTATGTAAACTTTGACTAGTCTAAAATAAATTTTTATTTAGCTATAATTCACATCTGCACCCCTAAGAGTAAGGAATACTTAATGATAAAATGCTTTTAAATATCTACAGATATTGATCATTATCTGTAATTAAAAAATAAGGTACATTAACGCTAGTATTTGTGTTTACAGCCTTTTTACTAATTTTTGATAAACGGGCCTAGGCTTTTCTCACTAAAACAATAGATACATTATGTTCAGGAATTCTCTGCTCCACAACGGTTTAGCTGTCTTCCAAATATGATTTGTTTGTCCTGTTGTGTAATGCTGTTATTGTTCCCCTTTTCTGTAAAATCCACTATACATACTGCATATGACCTCAAGTCACTGCAATTTATGATTAGAACATAGGCGTTCAAAGGGTGTAATACATTGAGAATATCTTGAACGCTAAACCAATATTTAATTTAACCATTAAGTTAAACAATACATGCTGTATACGGTTTCAGGTCATTTTAGTTTATGTAAGGGACAAAGATTATTCAAAGGGATTAGTGTGTTGAAATCCTCTTACAATTCAAACCAATATTTGATTCAACTATAGTATTAAATATTACATATTGTATAAGGGTTCATGTTGGAACTGAAAATAACCACTCTCCAATGTGGTGAGACAACAAAAAAAAGTGGCGACTTCAATTAAATAAACAACTGGTAACCTTTTTTCTCTTTTTATAAATCATTAAATGATTTATAAAGAAAATATAAATGTATAAAAAATATAAAAGTATATCAATGCAAAAAGACTCTGAAAAACAGAATAAATTTGTGATTTGAAAATTCATGTGGAAGGAGAGTTCTTTAAAAATTCACGTACTTTATAATTGTAATATACAATGTATTTCACATACCCAAATATTTTCAAGCATTTCATTATGTTTAACTAAATTCAGTATGTATAGCTTATAGCTTAAAATTATTTGTAATATGAATATTTTAAAGATAAAATTTAATCCAAGCAAACAATAAAGTTTGCTGAAAGTTGCTATTAAGTGAAAAGGGCCTATCGATATTGGTCACTGACTCATTAGGTTTGAGGAAAAAGTGACTACTAAATTATTAGAGTTTACCACTAACTGAAAATTTAAATTTTCAGGTCTAGCTCAGGTCATACCAATTAAAGATAGGGGGTAATATGGTAATAATCATATTTCAAAGTAATTTTAAATTCAACTATAGCATTGTTTGCTATATACGAACTCAGGTCACTCCAGTTTGTGGTAGTGAAACAAATCTGTTATCCAACAGATTTGTTTGCGGAATGCATAGCGAATATCTTAAGACTCAAACCAATGATTAACAATGCATTCAGCTTTTATCTACAAAATAAATATGCAAATTCTAATAAGCAAATTATGAATTTATTAAAAATTTTAATTCAAAACATTTTTAATATTTTTATTAATATTCTTTTAATTTAAGGTATAACTATTAGAGTAAGCTTTTAAAAACTCATTTTAAATAATTATTCCAATACGCATCACGCTGTTCACCTTAAATGTCATCAGCTTATGCTGAAGAAGCTCAATTTTTTTTTCGTCTCAGGACAAAAATCAATACCTTACAACAAATTTCAGCCTTGATAAGTTTACGCTCATTTAATGAGAGTAGTAATTGAAGTACCTCATTGCCACGAAATGAAGCGATACTCTGCTTAATAATGTTTATCATTACTGAAGAAATATTTTAATAGTAGATCTTTAAAAAAAATTGCTGAAGAAAATAATTGAGTATGCTTCCCTTGAAATAAGCAAAATGTTAGATAGACTCAGTCTGGTTATTTTTTCCAATTTAATTATGAAAACACTCAAGGGATCGTGAAGAAAATTAAATCCTTCTTCTTTTATTTTATTAAAAAAGCAATGCAGTAAATAATCCAAATCGGTTGCTGCTATTGGCAATTCTTTTTAAAACACTCGTAAAAAACATGCAGAATATCCGTTTTTTAATGAGTTATCGAACTTTTAAGCACGCGTGAATGGTTTTTGTCAAATGTTTTTGCAAGTTTAAATGCTTCACTCTGTAACAAATTTACATGGTTTAGCTTAACTCAATAAAGATAGTTGAAGTGAAAGAAAATTTACCATTTTTTCTTTTAGCTTTAGATACTTGTGCTCGTGACAATGGGGGTTGTTCTCAACGTTGCGACATGCTTGCTGGTAGAACAGTTTGCAGCTGTTTGGCTGGCTACCAATTGGCTCGAGATGGAAAATCCTGCACAGGTGATTGTTTATTCTAAAACAAGTTTTATACAAATAGGAACTAATGCATGCTTATTTAAATAAAGCAGGTTTAATTGAGTAGTAACTTATGGATTGATTACATGATATGCTTGCTCAAGTTCTTAGTAAATGGTACTAAGTACGCAATCCTTGAAAATTCTTCGAACATTGAGCAACTTTCTGAGCATATAACGAAAAGAGTTTTGTTTTATTTATTTAAAAGACAAACGTTTCTGTAGATTGTAAGATAAGATTTTTTTTCAAGAACGGCAATCTAAAAGCAATAAGTTATTTTAGAACTAGTTGCAACCATTTTTGTAATCGAAATTCTTCGTTAGTGGTTAGGGTTTTCTACGTTTTTGCACTCAAAAAAGAAGAAATTATGAATCCTACTTCTAGTTATCAGAAAATTGACCCATTATTGTAATTCTTAACATCTTTATTCAAAATTAAACAAATTATGCTTTTTTTAATAATTTAGAGGTAAGTTTTTCGGAAAATTGATTTAAAGCGAACTGCACATCCCTCATGTTATTACCCGCCACCATCCGCCCAAAAAATTGGTTCAGCGCTGAACCATAGCATCGGCACCTTAAACTATATTTTGGTACAAATATGCTATATTCTAAATAAGGTGTTAAACGGAACCATATTTCCGTTCAAGTTAAATCTTATTAAAGTTACAGAAAATTTGGGCGAAACTTGTACCTGCCTCATCACGCTCCACAATTCCAAACAGGGCATTGCCTCATCACGCTCCAAAATTCCGAACAGGGCATTGCCTCAGCATGCTCCAAAATTCCAAACAGGGCATTGCCTCATCACGCTCCAAAATTCCGAACAGGGCATTGCCTCAGCACGCTCCACAATTCCAAACAGGGCATTGCCTCATCACGCTCCAAAATTCCAAACAGGGCATTGCCTCATCACGCTCCACAATTCCAAACAGGGCATTGCCTCAGCACGCTCCAAAATTCCAAACAGGGCATTGCCAACTTAACGGGAAACTGCAAATTTCTAATACAAATAAATTAAAAAGATGTAAATCAATATATAAGATATAAATTTATTTTAAATTAAGATAATAAAAAGATACAAGCAGCCTTTCGGTTTTTATTTAGATTAAGGTGACTTATAGGTGATTAAAATCTTCTATTTTACTGGGGTTTTTTTTTAAATTTCTTATATATTTAATTATATTACTTTTACTCGAACTACAAATAAACTGAACTTATGAAACACAACCATTTGCAGAAGCATTTTTCAGTAACATATCCAGCATTAGTAGTCATGCATATTACAATTTTGATATTGGAAACATTGATTTTAAGTTACTAACTTTATATTTTTTCCGTAAATTTTGTCGTTAGGTTTTTCAGAATATAAGTCACCTATAATGCGATTAATAAAAAGATTATAACAATACACGCATAATAATAAATAAAAGAAAAAAGTAATTTCGTAATTGTCGTACAATTAAATTAAAACAGCAGCATCTTAAAATATGGAAAGTAAAAAGCAGAATTTTCAAAAAGGCATATTGACAGTACGCCAGTGCCAAAACTGATTTGAAAAATTTCGATTCCACGATTTTGATGCTGACGATGCACCACGTTCTAGAACGCCAGTTGAAGCTGATGAGAATACAATAAAGACTTTAACAGATGCAAGCCGGAGAATAACAAGATTGATGATTGATGACAAGAGATTGCTGAGAGATTAATTTTTTTCCAATTCGACTGTTCACAATCATTAGAAACGCCTAAATATTATATCAAAGCTAGACGCACGGGTTCATCATGTTCTGGAGGAAAGATATTTTTGCCTTCACGTTGGCGTCTGTAATTTATTATTCAAACGTCAAGAAAATTATCCACTTTTTAAGCACATCACCAGTGGGGACGAATGATTTGTCTACAAGAATGTTAAGGTCTATGCAAACTTTTTAGATGGTAAAACATTTACCTCAAATTAGGAGGTCAAAAATTATCTGGATTATTTTTTTTTCTTTTGCCAGCAAAGAAAAAGAAAGTAAGAGCGTGGAATCATTCTACTGTCAGAAAAGGTGCAATAGGTACTGAAACTGAATGGACAATATATAATTCAATAAAATATATATCCACTAAAAAAATCGTTTTTCATTTTGGTTTTAAAAAAACGAAATTACTTTCCGAACAACCCAATAGTTAAAAGACATTTATAAGTTGGATGTAATTAGAAATTAAATAGTTGTCATTCTAAATTAAATGGTTGTCATTCAAATTTTAGTTATAAATAGCAAGACAAATATAATATTGTTATTTTTAGTGACTGAAAATGAGGTGTGATTTTTTAAAATTATTTATTTACATAGAAATACATTTATTTTTCATTTAATTTTACGTTTGTCTATATTTTAGTAAATAATTTTAAAAATTTACAAGAGAACTTTTTAGTTTTTTTTTCTAAAATTTTAAAGCGTCTATATATTTCCCACTTCAAAGAGTAGATGAAACTAATTGGCCTTTTTCAGTAATTCTATAAGATGAATGAATTCCCTAATGACAGAGTGTAATAATAATAAACATAAAACGTATTTTGATTATTTTAAAAATCCTTGAAAAACCTAATATAACTGTTACAGCTAAAATTTAAGTAAGTGTGGCTCTTTAGTTTTATCAAAAACTTACTCTTTTCAAAGAGCATATGCCGTTTATTGTTAAATAAACTACAAATTCGAGTGTATTGATTTTCTTTTGTTGCTATTATTCTGAGTCCAAATGAACACGAAGTTTCTACTCTAATTAATTATTATTTCAACTTCTGTACTAATTAGGATGTCTTTTATGTATCATTTGTACTTCAATTTGAGACAGCCAACTTTGATTAATTTTTTAATTAAATGAAAAGATTTTTTGAGAACTCTTTTAATTAAATTTTATATTCAAACACAATAATAATGATGTAGCAGCAGAGTGTATATTTATTTTACTTTTCGTAATTATGTATTCGTGATTTTTTATCAACGCAAATTTAAGAAACAAAAAAATTTTCTGATATATATATAAGAATTTACATATAAAAGATTAAATAGAACGAATCAGTCTTTTAATTAATTTTAAATAATTGCTTTAAAATTTGCATTGAAATTTAGGGAAAAGTAGTTCAGTTATTAGATACATAAAAAATTTATGATTCGATTTAACTTTTTATAGTAAATAACAGTTTTAAAAAAGTTCATTAGCTTTAATATCTTCTGGACATTAACGTCACAGCTAAGAGTATCATAAAATAAAAACAGTCAAGTCGCATTAGTACAATGAAAATAGCAAATTGTTGTCAAATTATGGAAAGAAAAAAAAATCGCTGAGATGGGCAAACTGTAATATCATTTACGTGTGCAGCAAAGTCTTGCATGAAGTTGATTGCTTTAGCGTTTCCATTCAATACTAATTATCTATAAAATTGATTTCTTTTCACAAAAGTAACAAATAAAATATATGTAATTAGCAAGGGTAGATCGTCAACTTTGGGAGACAGTGCTAACATTTTTAGAGGCTCTCTCGGTACAAATCCCATTAATTAATTGTCATCGAACAATTCACTCTTTGTACTCTTTATAGCCTAAATTAGTTGCAAGCTAGTGCTTTCAATTAGGTAAAAATTTAACTCTCGTATAAAGATTTTTAATAGCTGTAAAAATAGATTTCTTGTAAAATCGAGAAAAATTTTATTCTAAATGGGTTTTTTTTACACTGTAAAAAATACCCGTTCTTTTTTCGGTATTTCTCCATATATTTAACGGCTAAAAGCCATTTTATTAACAAAACTGTTTTTCTCCGTTTTTCAACCTAATCACAAACGGATTAAAACCGGCAATTTAAATTCTAGTTTTTCTATGCAGTTTTGCATTCCGTAATATAACTTTACCTCTTCTTCAACCATTTTACGATTATTTCCTATACTTGCTCTCACTTTCAGGTAATTACTTCACGGTTTTGAACATCGTATAAGCAAAATTGCGATTCATATTTATTATTGTCAAATTGATTCAATATTAAGCGAAATTCTCTGTATAGCGATTTTTTCATTATAAAACTCTTGACCCGCAGCGGCTCAGGGGAAAAAGCACGTGCCGGGTCACAGTACCTTTGCAACAATTTTTTTAAATAAAGGTATAATCATTCTTTTTGTGGGTGTTTTACATGGTCATTTAACTTGCAATTAATAATTTATCTTTAAAAAATTGTTAAACTGATTAGTTTTTTTAAATTTTTTAAAAAAATTGAAAAAATTTAAAAATATTAAATTCCTAAGACTTTTTTATTTTAACATATTTTCAAAAAGAATTTTTTTCTCAGTGATTACAATATTTGTCTTAACAATTTTGTGCATTCATTTGCTGAAATAACGACTAGAATATTTTTTATAGATTATTTTGTAAAAAAGTAGCAAAAAAAGGTTAAAAATTCCTGTTAGGTATATATAACATGCTGTAAAACTTGTATTATCTCATAAAATGCTTATTCCATGCACAGTTTAATTAAGTGTATTATACTTAAGATAAAAAAGTTTTCTTCAAAACTTTATCTTAAACAGAAAAAATTCCTTAGGGATTTAAGTAAGATTAAAACACAAAATTATCATCTATGAGAAAAAACACTTTAAAGTCTGTCTGCTGAGCAAGTTTCTGTATTAGGGCAATCTAAAATCATTCATAACTTTTTTAAAAATGCAAGTAGAGAGATGATTTTCTTTCAATGCATTTGAAGTAGTTTGAAGTTTTATTGTAAGCAATAAAATTTTTTTCGATGTTTTGGTCATTTTTTGGATTCTGTGACCCCTTAATGAAGTGACCCAGACTCGAATCCAAGCGATGACTGGTCGATACAAATTTTACCGATATAAAATATCCACATTTGGTACGAGTACGGATGTACTTCGTAACTTTCGCAGAAAAAACTTTTTCTGATATGGTAAAAAGCCTGTTAACACCATAAATTTATTCTTGTACTAAAAACGTTTGTTACGATAAAAGCCCGGTTTGATTACGGATTTTATTCGTAATTTTTACGCAAAAAAACTTGTTTTTGTATAGTGAAAAACCATTGAGGCTGTGCATTTACTTCGCAAATTTTACGGTTCTGTTCAAGCAATCCAGCAGCCGGTTTAAGACTGTTAACTCCAAGGATGTTTTTTTTTTTACACTGTAATGACATAACTCTTTCTTTTTTTCTTCTAAATCGAGAAACGATAAAAGTTCCGTAGTAGTGTAATATAAATCTATTAAATTTAGCTTGTTATGTTAAATTTTAGTCCTGTTTTCACCTAAAACATGAAAATTTTGACAGTCATCTTCAGGCAATGTTAAAGCTCAACTCCAAAGTATTGGCCAAAATTTGATTCTACGCCTGGCATACATTATGCAAACGTTTGAGATGAATATTACTATAAAATGGAATTTCTGCTGTACTACTTGAATTAAATTTTCAAAAAAAAAGAGCCTAAATTATGGCAGCACATTCTGACATCCCGAGTGGTTATACTTTTTGTCATAAATTGTTTTTTGAAAAAATGTTTCACAGTGTAACGTCGTTGAAATCTATCGTAGAATATCCGTCGATTCCATCTCTTGTGCAATGACACTGCAAACACTACATTCAATTCAAACAAATCAATTCGCATCCTGCCTAGCTGATATCCAAGCTAAAAATGATTATAACTTTTGATGTTAAAGATAACGTAAATATTATACTACGACTTTAATCTTTGAAAATAGAGTAACTTTTCTTTTTGTCTCATAGATAGAATAAATCATCATCAGATCATCAGATAGAATAAATGCGCTTTTTTTCTAATTTCTGAAACCTCAAACACTGCCTAAATGTGCAAGTTATTACAGAAAAAAATTAAAAAATATTTATTACACATTTGATTTATATGTAATTATATTTATAAGAAAAACTATCATATTTGGATTGATATCTCGTGCTGAAAAATATATTTTGTTCAAGCATTGAGTTTAACAATTATTTTTCAGAAATTGATGCTTGTGCTCGAGAAAAAGGAGGTTGTTCACAAATTTGCCAAAGTGAGCATGGAAGAGCTATCTGCAGTTGTCATTCTGGCTATCAACTTGGAAGAGACAGAAGAACTTGCACAGGTAATTAATGTTTGCCATACTTAAGTTTACTCATCCATGAAAATAATTGTTAAAACTTTATTTTATGTCATCAAAAGAAAGATTAGAAAAAATTTAAATGTTTTAGTTTAGTCACAGTAGCTCAGATGACCCAGGTTAGAATGGCAGCGGTGAGTGGTTGATGCAAATTCTTCTTCCAGCTGTCATCAACCACAGCGCTGACTTAAAGTAACCACAGTGTTGACGTAAAACAATGTTTTCCAAAGTGTGGTACGCGTAACCCCAGGGGTACGGGAACAGTTCAGCATGGGTACGCGTTCTTATGCAAATATCTTACAACAAAAGAACATTTCAAAAAATTTTATTTCGAAGCAAAGCTCTCCTTAAAAATTTACAATTAAGTATTTTTCTATTGTCTATTTTTTGGTGAGTTAACAGTTAATAATTAGTATTGTCAAAAGCCAGTTGCTATTTTTAATTTTCGTGCAACTTTTTTTATAGTAAAAAATACATTAATTTTTTATTAGGGTACACAGCGTTACGAAAAATTTAGAAAGGGTACACAAAAGTCATAAGTTTGGGAAACACTGACGTAAAGTATCCTCAGTGGTAGACGGATCTAGGATTAGAATCTCTTTGCCGAGAGAGATTTTCACCGTTTCCCTCTCAATGTAAAGCAAAGGCGGGTTAGTTTCATCAAAAAGTCCTCCATGAAGGCTAGTTTGTCTCATTGCTTGTTCCAGGAGTTCCCTTGTCTTTTGAGTTAGATTCAAAAATTATAAGGCTGCGAATTGGAAAATTGATAATCGTAAACTCAGAATTGGGTCGGTTATAAACAAAATGAAATGCTTTAGTTGCAAATTTTGCATCAAAATTTTTTAGAGAACATTTTGGGAAAAAATGTTTCAATAAATAATTATTGCCAAATATTCTCTTTATAATCTTTTTATGAAAGCAAAAACCACAATAAAAATGGTAACGTTGCCATGAAGATAAAAAATATAAAAAAATCCATTTTTGAGCAACATTGCTTTACTATATTTGGTCATCAAATAAGAAAAATATCGATATAATAGCTTTTTATGGGGCTTTTTAAATAAAATTTTAGACTAATATCTTTAAACTGTTCTAAATTATCTAGACTATAAATTTTAGAATATGATCGTTTAGACAAAATAAAAGTAACGACTCAAATGCGCACTAACAGAAAGTTCATGATAAGAAATCACCCCACCAGTATAGAATGATATTTTCTGACTATGAGTAGCTATGCACTTCTAAATCCTTATTAATATCCTTTCATCCTCTTCAAGTTTGTAGTCTCTGTACTTAATCGTTCCTCCTACAAATGCAGAATTAAAAAGCAATATTAGGAAAAAAATTGTACTTTCACCTGCTTAATACATCGGCAATAAGTTATAATCCAAAATATGATTAATTAGCTTGAATTAATGTTCTTGCTTTTGCGTAGAGTTTAAAAAAAATCGAAAGTGTATTAAAGTTGTTGTGCCTGATTATAAGAGCAATAGCAATCAACTTTTCCATTTCAGCTTTAAAAAAAATTTGTTTTTTCTTTTGTGATACAAGCTTTATGATTTAATGCTTATTTTCTTACTTTATTATTCCTAATAAAATCTTTTGTTTCATCAAAAAATATAAATAATTCATTTATAAAAACCCTCTGAGATAGTGATTTTATCATGAAGTGAGAAGTAAATTTTGTATGAAATGTGTTAAATTTAGTACAACCTACTTTCATAATCGTTTCATTATTACTTTGAATACTTTGTACAAACGTTCCAGTGTACCGTAATACTATTCTTAGTTAGTATATATATTTTTTAATCCTTTTTCACGACATAAATCAAAAAAGAAAGTATATACCTTAGCGGTCACAAACTAATATTCCAGAGTAGAGGAAATGAATATTCTACCAAAATCTGTCGAATGAGGAAAGTTGGTTAAAAAACATACAAATCAGTTAGATTGTGTGATAAAATGTGATGGACCATCACATTTTATGGGATGGACTATCACATCACTGATGGTACTTCTAATAATCTCGTTTTTAGTTTTTCTCTGCGTTCTCCGGCAATCAAACAAGTTTTAATGCGAATAAAAAATATAAAAAATCTTGAACAAAGTGGCTTTGATCATTTTGTCCGTGTTTGTCTCCCCTCTTCTCAACTATCATTTGGAGTTCAGATACTGAGGAAGGTTCTTGTTTATAGATCCGAAACTATAGTATGTCCATTTCTGCTTTTTCATTTGTGCTAAAATGACGCTGTTTCTTCTATTTAACATGGTGCGTAGCGTTTTTAAAAAGTGCTTAAAGGTGCTTATTTTTGATTTTCGTTTTTTAAAAACCCTTAAGGGTGCTTTTTTCATTGGGTGTTTTTAAAAAGTGCTTAATTTTTCCTTTTCCAAAATGTGATTTTTTTCGTTACCATGTCGATTTTCGCCACGTATTATGCAATAGCGTGCTTTTCACATTCGATGTTTTCAAAATTCATTTTGGCGTCCATAGCGTATGAAAGCGCCAATCATTTTACACGTTTGATGAAATACTTGCGACTCCTTATATGCGTTTACTGACCTGGGTTCGGTGAGATTATTGCCTTCTCATGTGCAACTCTGCTGCATTTTGCAAGAAATTCTCAACTTCATTTTCCACCCTCTGAAATCGAAAAATCTCTCGATCATTATATAACGGCAAATTTAATCGGGAAGAAAGTTCTTTGTCAGAAACTGCTTATTTCATCATGATGAGGTAAAGTCTTTGAAAATTATTTTGCATTTTGTTAATGTATAGAGTGCTTAAAAATACTTTTTGAGTGCTTAAAGAGTACTTAAAAGGTGCTTATTTTTTGTTGAAAGATTTGGCTACGCACCCTGGTAAAGCGTAAATATACAAAAAAGAAAAAGGCTAATAAAATTAAGTGAAACGTACAAAATTTAAATAAGAAAACTAATAGCGTACAGTCGAATGAAACGTCAANGAGTGCAGCGCCACTAATTTGCATATTGCAATTTTACTCAGCTACTCTTAGTGGACAACATATGCAAATTTTGCACGGTTTGGCTTACTTTTGAAAGAGTTATCGCTATTTTTGTGATTTTTCCTTAATTTATGATAACCAGTGTATATTAAGGGTGGTAATTTAGAAACACTGTGAAATATCTAATAAAATATTTTTGATTAATTACTCTTAGAAATTGATGCTTGTGCTCGAGATAAAGGAGGTTGTTCACACTTGTGCCAAAACGTTAGAGGACGCCCTGTTTGCAGTTGCCTGCCTGGTTATCAACTTGGAAGAGATACTAAAACTTGTGAAGGTACTCTTATGAACATTTTTAGATGACATATAACAAAAAATAATTCTCTCTTATTTTTTAATTAGCATGATGTTTTCAATACAAATGTTTGCTTAATACTAATGCTTGCTTCTTTTGAATTAATGAAAGCTTTTCTAAGCCTGAAATTATAGAAAACTCCAAAACTAAAAAATAGCAATGCTATTGCACGGTGTTAATTTCCAAACTACGCACATGTTCAGAGTATTTTTATTAAAATTATTCAGGGTTTTTCGATATTTTTCATTACATATTTAATATAACTTTTGGAGAATTATTTCCTGTTCACAAAACTTGCTTTTGATTCTAAGCATAAATTTTTATAGGAGTTAGTTAACAAAATTATCTTACTTCGTAGCATCCTCTGAAGTATATGCATTTCATCTTGTAAAGAATGGATAGTTTTTTAAACAGATTTGATCAAATATTAGTTCAAAATTACCAATAACAATACGTACTTCATGACTGAGAAATATTTTTTTTACATCGAACTTAAGTTTTCAAAAATTGAAGAGAAAAATTATTTAATTGAAACATTTTTCTTCAAAATCATTGCTGTGTTGACACAGTACATGGAGAAAAGAATTCAAATGAAATCACCATACTGTATCATTAAGATAATTCTGGTAAAAAAAAAGATTTTAAAAAAAACTTAATTCTGGCAATAAAACCATTCATTCTGGTTTTAACCATTCGTATGGTAAAGGTATCAGTTAATATGGAAGGTTGCAGTTCGTATGACTTTACCGGAAATTCTGTTTTTCAAAATTTGTTCTTATTGCGACGCGTTAAGTAAAAAATACAAAACTGAAAAATAAATTTAAACGAATAAATGGTTTTTATGTCCTATTCTAGGGTGTCATGATTAAATTTCTATATTTTTAGAGCTTGTTGTTGAACAATATTTTATTGTTAATTTTACCAAGATTATTACACAAAAGCTTCTGTAAAATTACCGGGTTTTTTTCGCTGTTTCCAAAGAGCCAGAAACGCGGCAAATTTTATCATATTCCGGTAATTTTGGGCTTATTTTCTCAGTGTACTCTGAAACTTTAAGGTCAATTCTTAATAAAATAATTTTCAATATTATCTTATATTAAAATTGCTCACAAGTTACCCTTTTGTATTCCATATTTTTTTCTTTTTTTTTAGCTTGAGGTAGAAGGAGAAAAAAAAAATTCTGTTCATCAGTTTTTTTACACGTTTTTTTTCGTTTTATAAGCAAACAACGAAATTGACGATGACTGCACGGAAATAAAAAAAAAATCCATGATCAAATAATTAAAAAAAAATTAAATTACAACAACATGACAAACATGACACCATGAACAAAACAACATGTCAAAAGAACTATTAGTTTACTCCGCCCTCTGTTCCTTGCCCTTCTACCACGAAAAAATAATTAAGTTGTAATTATGTTGTTTTTATGCTGCAGACACTGCAAAAAATGATAAAATATAATTATAGAATAGAACATCAGACTTTTCTTAAATAAATAACACGCTGAATAATATTATTGCACTAATTTTTTTATATATATATAATTTTAAAATAGGTAATAATTTTAAAGTAGGTAATTCTAATTACAAAAATCAAAATATGAATGAAATTAGTAGAATTTGTAGAAGTTGTTTTTTCTCGAACAATTCTATTTATCTTAGTACAAAATTCGTTAGAATTTGTAAGTAATTTTTTACAATTTCTTAAGAAACGGAAGGTTGATGTAAAAATGTGAATGCAGAAACCGCATACTTAATTTATTTTTAAATTAATATAATCTACATTCAGAATAAACAAGCATTTTGATAATGCATTCAAATTTCAAATTTTTTATTTGTTTCTGCAGAAGATGAGTAATTGCTTTCAGAAATGTATAATTTACTTCCTTTGAAGTTGTTTTAATAGCTAATATGTAACTCATTAATTATTCAGCGAAACAATAATTTTTCTACCAATAAGTTACTGTATTTTTGATAAAATGTAAAATGATACTTTTCTTATTTGAATTAAGGAATAAATAATAAAATTGTCTTTTCTTGAGGTAATTGCAATTTTGCAAAAAGTATTCATGCAAGATATTTTATGTACTGTTTTGTTATTTACTGTTATGTTACTAAGAATACTCTTTTTTATTTTACATATAAAGCAGAAAAGAAAAACTTGTGTGTGCAAAAGGCTTTGGAATTTAATTTCGAATTAATGAGCTACCTGATTTTCTCTCTAAGGAAACTATATTATATTCTTTTTGTTTTTTATGAAAAAAACTATAATAAAAAATCTTTTAATTAGAAGTAAGAATTTATGATTCCTCTACATTTGAGTTAATTTCAAAGACCTTACTGTTTAAAATATAATGACATCATTAGCAGATTTTGAAACACAAGAAGCAAGGAATAGAAAAATATAATAGACTATTAGATAAATTTAAAAATTCTTTTTCTTAACACCAGTAAAAAAATAAATAATAAAATAAGACGTATTTGTAAAGAATTTCTTTATGTATTAAATTTTGCAGCTTTTACATAACAGTAACTAAAATAAAAAGTATAAATTTAAATATTTGATGTTAAAGCAAAGTTAGGAATTAAAATAGTCCAATTTAGTATTGAAGCAAAGCTTTTTTTTAAAAAAATGAGTTTATTTTATTTTTTTTCGAAACATATTTTAAGTATCATGAAATCCACATTTGCTATACGTTCTTAAGAATTATCTTCAAATATTTCAGACGAATTACTAACCATTGATCTTGATTTTCACTGCTAATTCTAATTTGATAGGGAAAATGCGATGAGCTGGTTTAAATATCTTTTCATTTTGTGTGCAGTTTGATATTATATTTGTTTTGTATAAACTACAAAAAAACATAATTTTGTATTAATTGTGTTTCATAAGGATCCGCTAATGTATATTTTTAATTCCTTGTCAAAAAAAAGTAAAAAAGTATATGGGGCACAAATTAATATTTATCAAGGGAAAAAATACCTCGAAATCTAATAAATCACTCCTGGGAAAAGCAGATATGAAAACAATACTACCTATTGATTTGCAGAGAAATACAGCATGAGTTAATGAGCGAAATTAAATATTTCTGAATTCAATCATGCAATCTAACTGGTTTTGTTGTTTTTCGTGCATATTTTTAACTATAGCTTAAACGAGAATGCTAAAGATATATTAAGGTCAGCCTTTATGAAACACGCAGTATACTTAATTAAAATTCGGAACTCTCTAGTTTCAGTTTTAATATTTTTCATTATACATTAAAAATTTTAAAGATATTAAAAATAAAGTTAAAATTTTACTATCAAAATAATTAAACCACTTGTTAGAACAGTTTAATCGGTTAAGTCTAGAAATCTTACTAGAATCGGTTCCCAGTGTGTTATAACTACAAATGTTATTAAAATTTGTTCTCAGCGTGCTATATCTATAAATCTTACTGAAATCTATTTTCAGCTTGCTAATCATTAAATGTTACTAAAAATCGGTTTCCAGAGTGTTATATCAATGAATCTTACATCATGCTGTTCCCAGCTTGTTCTATCTAATAATCTTACAACATTCTGTTCCCAACTTGTTGTATCGAAAAATCTTACTAAAATCAGTTCCCAGTGTATTTGTGACAGAAATTTTCTTCTCTACAGAGTTATACTTAGCGTAGAAAAGACGGTCACAAAACATGAGTTTCTGTTAAATAACGATTGTTGAATATTAAATTAGCACAATCGGAAAAAAAGACATGTTTAAAAATCGATTTCTCAGGAACTATTTAACCGATTTCGCTCAAATTTTGTATTTTACCATATAAAATTAAATACTTTAAAATGAGGCAAAAAACTGTATACCTTACAATTCAAAATTTTTTCAACTATTATTAAATAAAATGATAAATATTAATAAATATTTACTAAAATTTATTTTTTGCATTTAATAATCTTTGGATGAATGAATTTTATAATTGTAAGCAAAAATTTTCAGTTTACTTAAAAAGTTCTCGATATATGGCAAAATACACGAAAAATAAAATTAACATTTAGGGGTGCAAAATTCGTATCGCTCTCTTAACCAAACTATGGGGACCATATTTCCTGGATTGCGGCTAACCCCTATAAAACATATGTTTATTCAGAGAAAATACATTTTTGTGTCTGATTTCGTAACTTAAAATATCGTCTGCACTAATTAGCGTGTTTGAAGTTACCTCCTCAAACTATTACGATGGAGTCCTAGAACATGAAGATCCAATCATTTGATCAAAAGTTATTCTGGGTAGTCCTGTTTTCTTTTTCTTTTCCTATTTTTTGGCGGGCTGTACATTTATTTAATTCTTATCATTCCTTATTTTATTCTTGAACAATTATTTTTCAAAACTTTTCACATTTTTCTCAGAATGCAATTTATAAGTGTAATTCCCGTGAAAGTTAATAAAAGAAAATATAATTCGATATATTACTTTGAGAAACATTTTATGTGTATCAATGTATCAAATCTGAAGTACCTATTAAATTTATTAAAAAATATGTAAGCACTGGCATTTTTAACCTCCGCCATTTGATACCTTACTTTACTAATTTTTTTCAAAGGGGCGACAGTATAAGTCATTTTTTTTTAAGTTTCACATACATTTGTAAAAAATCTGACAAAAATACAAATAATGTACAGTCTTTATTTTTTTTTTTGCTAGTTTAAGTTATTGTATGAAAACTCATTTCGATTTCCATTTATTTCCAATTCGAAACTCATTTAGCTGGATTCATGCACAATTAAATATTAAAAAAATAAAATTTTGTTAAAATAAAAATGTATTTTTATAAGTTTACCCAACATAACATCTAGAAAATAAATATTTTTCGATTCAGTTCAAGAAATGTAAACTCCTTAAAAAACCTATTTCTATTTGTTTACATTCTCAGTGCCATTTAAATAAATTGTGAAATAATATCCGATCGGACAATTTTAAAGGTCAAAACTAATGAACATTT